CCAAGCAGCAAGCACCACATTGCACCTCATGTGGGTTTGCCACCTTTGTGACAAATCTCAGCCACACTCAAGTAACTAAATGTCCTTGAGGCAAGGGCAGATGTCAGCTTTGTAAACTTAAGGGCTTTGGTTATGCATCCTTCCGATTATTAAAGTGAATGCTGCAATTTGTAGACACTCTATACTGAAAGTTTATTTTAAAAATTTGTTTGCCATTTATTGTATTCTGTATTTTAACCATTCAGCGTATATGCAAGCTGCTTTATCAGTCTTTCTCCTACCACCAACCCCACATAAATTAGAATTAAAATAGCAACATCCAAAAGCTCCTAAATTACTTTCTGAGTAAGCAGTGCTAGCTTTTACCAGGAATTAGGAGAAATCCTTTCAACAGCATAGGATGCACTGTGTGCTGTTTCCTCCTCTACCCCTGGACTTGTAACTCAATACCTAAGGTGCCAAGTTTGGATTGGTTTGTAACAACCCCCCCCCCCCCCCGTTAAAAAAGAAGAGGAAATGGCTCAGAATTTTTCTCATGCAAACCATGGGTGATGCACCCACCTCTACTTTTTAGCAAATGGTTCACAAGCAGTACAACATCAGACAAACATAAACTGGGAATTTTTAGTTGAGCAGAAAGAGTTATTTTCTGCAGTGTAAAGAAGTATGTGCCTGTGATCTGTAACAAAAAGGAGCTGAATTATTCAAGTGCTGGTGTCTCTAGGGAGCAGCAGATATTGTGGTGTTAACTGATTGCTTTGCATATGGAATATCTAAAGTTAGCAATAGACAGAACTTCATTAGCATCTCCTGTGATTTACAGGGGGTTGAGACATCCTTGTAATCATAGGAGTATACTCAATGTGGCAGTTTTGTATATATTAAGTGGCTGAGATGTGAGAGGCGAAAACGCTATAATTTTTAAGTCATTTCAGCTTCATATAATAAATGGCTAGCCCAACTGAACTACCCTCTCTTGTCTTGCTCAAAGGATCTCTCAAATAGAGCTTTGCCCTAACCTTGGGAGCCTTGTAGAAACCTTTCTGCATCAGGTCACAGCCCCAGATGTGGTCTACAAGAGAGGTGGCCATGGTTGTTGTTTTTTTGCAAGCACATAGAAATTGGGTCGCTAGCCGTGTCTCCCAATGGCTTTGCCTCCAGTTTACTAACCTAGTGCCAGAGAGACTGGCACAAGTTCAGGCGTGACTTTGCGCCATAACCAGATGCATAGACCCCGCTTTCATCTGAGCACGCATTGCAACACATCCATACTAGCATTGCCAGATGTTTACTGACTGTGGTCGTCAGCTCGTCGTTTCCTTCTTTCTGGGCCTTTGCTTTCTGTCTTCCTTTGCTTTTGCTCTTGATAGCCCTGACTTCCAGATGCTGACACTCATGTTGGTATGTCATTCATTTTGTCACTTGTGTAACTATTGGAAAGGAGGGACTCCTCCAAACCCAGTTGCAGGGATGCAGCTAATTTACTGGGTACTTAATTAGGGAGCCCCATTCAAGTCAGCAGCTGACAACCTTAAATACCAACTCATTTTGATTTTTTGGGCTTGTTTACTCATTCTTTTACACGGGGAAATCTTAGCTATGAATCTTAGAGTGCTTCTCCCCTTCACTACATGGAGAAAATAAAGAGCAAACTAGTTTGTGCATCTTATACCCAACCTTCCTAATTACTTTTGGGAACAGTTCATTCAGGTGATTAGGATAGGCTGTGTTCAAATGAAGAGCCCAATTCTCTTGTTTCCCCCCCTGCCTTGTGTGAGGTGGGTGGGATAAGTGTGAGATAGCCACAGTCATACCTAGGGTCTATTGCACCCTTGGCAATGAGCTGTATTGGCATCCCCTCCCAAGGAAAAATGCCTGTGTGTCACAGTGTGAGAAGGAAGAGAAGCTTCCCCCACATTTGATTTCGCAGTGATAATGGTGTCGTGTCCATAATCCAGCCTTTTTCAAGCTTGGGTTCCCATATGTTGTTGGACTACAACTCCCATCATCCCTGACCACTGGTCCTGCTAGCTAGGGATGATGGGAGTTGTAGTCCAACAATATCTGGGGACCGAAGCTTGAGAAAAGCTGCCATCGTCTGATAGGTGATCTTTGCATCCCCCTCCAGGCCTGTGCCCTTGGTGGGGGCTGGTTTCACCAACCCCTAGGTATGCCTCTGGAGATAGAGATTTCTCCCTGACAACAACTGAGTGAACAACAGGCTGGATTTAGGGGGTGGGGTGAACACCATGGTGAAAAATATAAATGGAGGTCTGGATGGAGATGCAGGTCTAGAAACCTCTAACTTTTGCATGGGTGAAATGTAGCCTCTTAGACATGTTAATTGTTCCACCTACTTCTGTCACTGGCCCTGACAGTAGCGGGTGCAACACTTCCCCAGAGCTTCTGTTCCTGGTGTGGTGGTTATGTGGAACTGGACCAATAGGAGTCTTTGTTATGTGGCGTGCCCTGGCTTGGACTGAACTGTGTAGTTTTTTTGGCAGATTTCCCCCCACCCTGGCAAATCCTATGTACAGTGGTACCTCAGGTTAACTACTTAATTCATTCCAGACATCCGTTCTTAACCTGAAACTGTTCTTAACCTGAAGCACCACTTTAGCTAATGGGGCCTACTGCTGCTGCCACACCGCCAGAGCACGATTTCTGTTCTCATTCTGAAGCAAAGTTCTTAACCCGAGGTACTATTTCTCGATTAGCGGAGTCTGTAACCTGAAGCGCCTGTAACCTGAAGCGTATGTAACCCGAGGTACCACTGTACAGTAATTCTCAAAATGTATTATTTGTATCAATGGGGATTCCACTCCACCATAGTAGGTAGGATTTTCCCTTCAGTTTATCTGTGCAGCTACTTGGGTCTGGTAACCAGCCTTCAAGGTCAAAAAACTCTCTGTGTGCGCACACACACACATACACGAAATTGTGTTAAGATTTATTTCATTTGTGTCTATGTGTGTAATAAATGTTTGTGCTGGTGTAATATCCCAGAAGGATGGTCCAGCAGATTAGAGGATTTCTGTGCATATTGCAGGAACTGTGCCAACAGAAGCTTGCCTCTGAATCCTAGCCAGGTTTTTTTCTTGTTATCCCTGCTGTTTCTTCTCTCCCTTCCCTAGCCCCCAGTTGGCTTGGATCATATTCGACCATTTAGGACAAGCATGCCTTGTAGTATCTGCACTGTTTTGAAGATAATGGTACCTCAGATGGGTGGCTCCATTGGGTCACGATTTGCATACAATGATTGCAGGAACAACATGGCCACTCAGCTGCCTGAAGCTGCTGTCAAATGCTGTGTTTTAATCCTGCTGGTACACAGGTCCTGCCCCCTAGGGTTGTCATATTCCGAATGGGGCATTCCTAGCTTGTGTGTGTGAGAGAAATTATTTGGGTTTTCAAATGCTGGATTTTATTTGCTTTAAACAAAAAGAAAAAGAGAGAAGCTAAAAAGATACATTTCAATCTGAAAGTTCACCGTTGTTTTAAACATAAAAGAGGCCCATTATCTCTGTTACAACCCATTATTGTTCCTGTTATGACAGTATAGAACTATTGGCTTATTCAGTGGCATATGCTCTCTTTTTTGGTACCTGTTTTCTTTCTCATTTTTTTTCTAAGGGGGTTTTCAGATTATTATTGTTGTTGTTGTTGGATTTTGTTGGCACAATTTGCTAGAATTGCCAGTTTTGGGCTTCCAGCTTTTTTTCTTTAAGTGTAAATAAATTAAATGTTGTGGAGTAGATGGTAGATGCACCGTGCATCTTGAATGCTAAAAGGTAAAGGGACCCCTGACCATTAGGTCCAGTCGTGACCGACTCTGGGGTTGCGGCGCTCATCTCGCTTTATTGGCCGAGGGAGCCAGCGTACAGCTTCCAGGTCATGTGGCCAGCATGACTAAGCTGCTTCTGGCGAACCAGAGCAGCGCACGGAAACGCCGTTTACCTTCCCGCCAGAGTGGTACCTATTTATCTACTTGCACTTTGAGGTGCTTTCGAACTGCTAGGTTGGCAGGAGCAGGGACTGAGCAACGGGAGCTCACCCCATTCGAACCGCTGACCTTCTGATCGGCAAGTCCTAGGCTCTGTGGTTTAACCCACAGCGCCACCCGTGTCCCTCTCTTGAATGCTAGGACAGTGTTATTAGCCAGCCTGGTATAGTAGTGTCAGACTTGGACCTGGAAGACCAAGGTTCAAAGCGTCACTCAGCTGTAAAGCTCATTGGGTGATCTTGGGCCAGTCACTGACTCTCTGCCTAACCTACCTCACAGGGTTGTTGTGAAGACAAAGCAGAGAGACGGAGAGCCATGTAGAACACCTTGAGTTCCTTTGATGAAAATCCGGAACTTATTATTGGTTTTTGTTGGCATCTGTCTGTCTCGAGAGACAATGGAGAGCTGTGCCAAGGGTGAAGTCAAACCGCTGTGTTAGCAGCACCAAAGTGACCTCCTCGGGGCGCAAGTTTGGGCAGTTTGTATTGAGGTCCTGGGCTGCTCGGATGATAAGACCCCCCTCTTGGCCTCACTGATGGGGTCCAAAGGAAAGCAGGGCAATACGTGTAGCACCAGATTGGCTGCAGGAGTTGTCATAAGGAGGCGTACAAGGTGCCACCCAAACGTCTTAAGGACTCCACTCTGGATTTGCATATGGTTTACTCCTTAGTCTTTCCTTCTTCCGAAGATATCTGGCAAGGCAGTGGAGGTTCAGAATCACAGTCTACCTTCTCCTGGATGGGCTATCTTCCCAAGTTGATGTGCCCCATCTGCCCCCTATAAAAAAGCCAGAACACAAATGTAAGAATAAAACACCATGGAGGGTGTGGCTTGACATTTCATATGCTGCTGTGGGAAGTGGGATTCATTTTTAACTGTTGATGGTAGGGCAATTATGCTTGGTATACCTTTACTCAGAAGAGCAGGCACCCTCTTTCTTTTTCAGTTGGTGCAAGACCGGCTGATGCAAAATAAATGAATCCAGAACATGCAATAATTTTTCACCCAATGTGGGGCTCAATCCCACAACCCTGAGATTAAGAGTCTTACACTGTACCCACTGAGCTATCCCTCAGCACCAACAGCTGGCAGTGCCTAGTGGGGATAGGAAATGATGGGGTAGTGAGAATGGGGGGTTCAATAACTAGAGGAGGGTGGTATCCTGGTTTTCATCTGTGAAATGTCGGAAGGGTGTGTGATTACTGCGTTGCTGGAGAGGTGCAATAATATTTGTGGCTGCTTTGGCCACTCCTGCAGAGAATACCATTGTGACAGCAGGAATACTTGGTTGGGCTCTAAATAGCATCCAGAATATTATGATCCACCATTGATGACGAAACTGAAGGATAAGCTGGATGATTTTGAATGCCTTCAAAAGCAGCCATGCGCCTGGCAGCTGCTAGTGTGTTAGCTGCACTGTAGGGCCTGCTTAACCTAGATAGTAATCCAGACAGCTACTTCTGTTACGCCCAGCCTGATGGCTGTAGTATTCAGTGAGGCCAATGCCATTCATAGAGCCCTTTTTAAGGAAATGTGAGACTGGAAGAGCTTGCAGCGAAACTTAATTGGGGCTGAGTCAAAACAGGCTCCCCCAGATTAGAACCATAGCTGTCAACGTTTCCCTTTTTTAAAGGGAAATTCCCTTATTCTGAATAGGATTCCTCGCAAGAAAAGGGAAAAGTTGACAGCTATGATTAGAACAAGAAATAGAACTGAGAGTAGCAGTAAACAAAACTATCTCATAATGAAAAAAACCCAAACAAATCCAAGTTAAAGTATAGCTGAGACATTACATTACAGCTGAGCATTTGTTTGTTTGTTTATTTAATGTATATTCAACTCCTCCAAGGAGCCCATGATTTTATTATTACAACAACCTTGTGTGGTAGGTTAGGTTGAGAGATAGTGAATGGCCCAGCATCGCCTAATGAGCAGAGTATTGATTTGAACCCAGATCTCTCTGGTCCTTGTCCAGCATTTTCCTTGGTGTTGAAAAACATACATAGAAAATGGACACCAGGTTACATCCCTAATTGGCAGCATCACAGAGAAGGCTGTTTCTCTAATCAATGTCCCTCTTACTTCAGAGGGAACTTAGAGAAAAGTCTCTGAATGCTATTTTAATGTTTGGACATTAATGTTTGGAGAATGTGGTCCTTCCAGCTCTTGAGTTCTAAATGTAAGAAACAGCACCACAAATTGCGTTTTGGAATAGACTAGGAGCCATTATGCAACTGGTGAGGATATCATTCACACGACTAGTCCTAGTTAGGAATCCTAGCTGCTGTGCTTTGCACTAACTGAAGTGTCCAAATAGTTCTCAAGGGTAGTCCCATATACAGGACCTTACAGTACTCCATGGGATTTCCCCCCTCAACTGGCCATTATTTCTCAAGCCTCAATTTGTACCCCCCCCCCTTGTGTAGTCAGAATTGCCTGGGATCTTTTTCTTCTGTAAGGAAACAGGCTCAAGTTGCCACACATTAATCTCCCTAAAGTTATGCTAATCCTTATTTATAACCTAACGCAGGTCCCTGAACACACATCACACGGCACACATTAATCTATATACATACCCATGCTAAGTATTTCCTACTTTGGTGTTATACCACGGGGGAGATTAATGCCTTCGCAAGAGAAGAGCGTCTGTTGCTATCAGTGGAATGGAGAAATGTGGCGTTCAGACACCACTCAAAGGGATCTTTTATCTCTTTAAAATGCATGTTAGGTTTGTCAAGGAGAAATCGGTGTTTGATTTGCACTTTGTGGTGATGACCACAGATCAATAGGAAGGATTGACTGTCATGGGTCCACAGCATAACCATAAAGCAAAGCAGGTGAGAAGTTTAAAGTTACAACAAACATTTTCCCTGCCATTTTTGGTGCCTTCTGTGGGAGTGCTTTACTGCAACTCCAAGGAATGAAGAAGCAGAACAACTTGGCCACTTGTTACCCAGTGCAGGATTCTCACAACAGCCCTATGAGGTGGGCTGAGCTGCAGTTTGAATCTGGATGTTCTGCAGTGAGCATCCTGGCTGAGGATGAACTGGAGCCTTAGTCATCCTTCCCAGTTGCTTAACACCATCCATCACAACAAACTTTCAGTTACAGACTGTGCAGCAAGCACCGAATCTTCAGAGAAGCAATATATTTCGGGTTGAATTTAATGGACCCTAAGTTAGTCATTTAGGGACGTGGGTGGTGCTGTGGGTTAAACCACAGAGCCTAGGACTTGCCGATCAGAAGGTCGGCGGTTCGAATCCCCATGACGGGGTGAGCTCCTTTTGCTCGGTCCCTGCTCCTGCCAACCTAGCAGTTCGAAAGCACGAAGTGCAAGTAGATAAATAGGTACCACTCTGGCAGGAAGGTAAACGGCGTTTCGTGTGCTGCTCTGGTTTGCCAGAAGTGGCTTAGTCATGCTGGCCACATGACCCGGAGGCTGTACACCGGCTCCCTCAGCCAGTAAAGCGAGATGAGCGCCGCAAGCCCAGAGTCATCTGCGACTGGACCTAATGGTCAGGGTTCCCTTTACCTTTTAAATTAGTCATGGCCATTAATTCCAATGGGTCTGTTCTGAGTATTAGTTGAATACAACACTTTATTTTGTTCATTTGGGCATATGACACACCATTAAGTCTTGCCCAGGAATTCACACTTTCTCGTGCCCAAGTGGTCATGTGAATCTTGACCACTTTATATTAGTGTTATTGTTATTTTAGGTATTGGTATTTAAGTAAGAAATACAAAGGACCTCAGCTCCCCAAGTGCTAAGAGTGCAAATGTATCCAGTCTTCTTGATCCAAAATTCTGCAGAATTAAATGCTTCCAGACACTCATATTAACAGAGGTTGGCCAAATAATATTTCTCTGACACCCCTCCCTCCTCTTTTTCTCGAGTCAGTGCCAAGTTGAAACTATGAGACCCAGACCCACATTTAGACCTGGATTCAAGTTCAGGATCCCCAATGTTTAGTGGCTTGTGCTGTGCTGGAAAAACGGAGCCTGCAGTGAAAAAGCAGGAAATATTGGCTGAAGTCCAATATTTATTCCATGCATGACCAGCAAACAAGATTCACATTTCCTGCCAGTTGCAGAGGATGGTGTTACAATCTCCCATTCCCTTCTATGTTTTTAATAAAGCTTTAAGGTGTGCGTCCACAGACAGCCCCCATTTAGGGGTAGAAACCTAACCATGCTTCCTCAGAAGTAAGTCTTGCTGAGACTTGCTCCTGGGTAAGTGGGGTTATGGTTGCAGCCTAAGCTGGAGTCCATGCCGCCAAAACTTGAGATTTCTCATTTAGGCCCTGAAAAATCAACATGAGAGCGATATCTATATCAAACTTTAACCTCCTTGTAAGGATAAGGCAATTGAGGATAATCAAGGGTGCGTTTTCTGTTAGAAGCACAGAAACATTTCGTTGCAACATAAGTGCTTTGGATGAAGTCTCTCTTTCTCCCCTCCTCGACTTCTCTCACTTTACTTTATAATGCATAAGTGGGATGCTTTAAATGGGAAATGTTGCCTTTCTTTGCTTGCTTATGACCAGCTGTTGCTAAGAGATGTTCACACAAATTTGTTGTGAGAGCTGAGAGTGCATCTAGGTTCCTGTGCAGATTCTGAGATCAGAGTCTTTGGTGACTGCATTGTCAGTGAGAGGGAGTCCTTGTACCTAAGGTTTTCACCCTCACAGTAGGAAAACCTATTGTTAGTTGAAGGTTTTTTTAATCCAACCTTGTAAATAAGTCCATGTAAGTTACTAGCCAAAGTTTTCTTTTGTGTGTGCGTGTGCGTGTGTATGTGTTTTTTACTACCCACCGGCTAGATACAGCCATTTATGGCACATTGACAGTTCCGTTATCTCCCACATCTATTTCCAAGCCTGGTGTAATCCTTTGGAATTAATACTTTATACAGAGAAGGTGTGCCAAGTGTGATAATACAAACATTTCATATAGTGTTTTTGCTATGAAGATTTTATTTTACACCCACTAGCAGTACTTGAATATAGTTTATCTGGATGTTAGGGCTGATTAATGTTGCCTTGATCACTTTAAAAGAGTGCCCAGTTGCCAAGAACAAAACTTGCTTGGAGTTTTTAAAGCAGAGGTTGGATGGTCATCTGTCATGTATGAATTCTTGTTGAGATTCCTGCAGTGGACCAGATGACTCTTCCAGCTCTATGAGTCTATGATTCTGTGATTATTATTTCACATATATGCCTTTCTGAGCTTCTTGGAGGAAGGTAGGATACAAACAAACAAAGTGTAAAAGAATAAGACCTGTGTTAAAGAATGAAAATGAAGTGTGTACACATTAGTAGTGTGTTACATGAAAAGCCAAATCTCAGATCAACTCCCAGTTATATTTCCTTTTTTGGACCACCCACCCTCACTGATAGCAGTCATGTGACTAACCAAAGAATTACAGAATCATGCAGTCCACCAGGTGTTTAGCATTTGGCTCCGGACAAGCTCTTCACATTTTAGAAGGCAAGCATACATCAACATCAAAGTGTAATTAGCAATATTGCTGCTAATGCTGTAATCGATTCATTGGAGGGTACACCATTCTGCATTGAGCAGAATCTCCACCCCCCTCATGTTCCTGGACTACAATTTCAGGCATCCATGACCATATTATTCTATTATATTAATATTAAAGTGGTAATTTTGGGCAGAAATTCATGATTCCTCTTGGGGGGAAAAATCCTAGCATATGGAAGCCTTTCTCAAGAACAGATGGCAAAATCTTTCTTTAGAATTTGGGCAAGAATCCTGTGAACAATTTTGCATTTATGAAGCTCAGCTAAGACTGCATTTCTCTTATATGAGAGTAACCCTCAGGGAAGTCAACCACATCTGAAGGGCCACAGTTCCCCACTCCTGCTCCAAAGTTTGCTACTGAATTTCACTGAACGAGAAAAGACAAGGTGAATGTGGAGGTTTCAGCTTAGCAAACCAGTTATCAAGGCAGCAACATATTCAGATACGAGTCACGAAATTTCTTAGAAGAAGTTGCCCAGTGCTTAGGTGCCTCCAGGTTTTTCCCTAAAGCAAAACGTTGATGCAGGTTCC